ATAACAGCTGCTGGAGAGGGTGTGGTGAAAAGGGAACACTTCTACACTGTTGGTGGGAGTGTAAACTAGTGCAACCTCTGTGGAAAGCAGTGTGGCAATTCCTAAAAGCTCTAAAAATCGACCTTCCATATGACCCCACAATTCCCCTGCTGGGAATATACCCTGAAGACCTCAAATCACTCTATAAAAAAGATACCTGCACACGTATGTTTATCGCAGCGTTGTTCACAATACCAAGAACCTGGAAACAACCATGCTGCCCATCAAAAGAGAACTAGATTTAAAAAATGTGGTACATATACACGATGGAATACTACGCAGCCATAAAAAAGAACAAAATCATGAATTTCGCAGCAACCTGGATGAAACTAGAGTCTATAATACCGAGTGACCTCTCACAGAAACAAAGATCCGATTATCACATGCTCTCACTCATACAATGGACCTTGAGCATCCAATGGAATACTATAAGAAAATGACTGACGGTACTGGGAAACTATGGGGGGGGGGGAATGGGATTAACAGTAGCAAATATCTGTCTGGGGATGGGGAAACACCTCTTATCAACAGGGTACCTGAATGAAACGTAATTGTACACCTAACTCTTAACTGTACCCCACAAAATCATAATAAAAAATATTGATTAAAAAAAAAAAGAAATTTGCAGGACTGGAAGTTGCTCTGAGTGAATTAGTGAGTGGTCAGTGAGTGTGAAGGCCTGGCACATTACTAAATACTTCAGTAGACTATATAATAAACAATGTGAACTTAGACTATGCTAATTTAGGTTATGCTAAATAATTCTTTTTTTTTTTGAGTCAGTGTCTCACTCAGACTGGAGTGCAGCGACACAATCATGGCTCACTGAAGCCTCAAACTCCTGGGCTCAGGAAATCATTCTACCTTAGCCTTCCAAGTAGCTGGAACTACAGGTGAGCCCCACTATGCCTGCCTAGTCTTCTTCCCTTTTTGTAGAGACAAGGTCTCCCTATGTTTCTCAGGCTTGTCACTAACTCCTGGTCTCAAGCGATCCTCCCACCTTGGATTCCCAAAATAGGATTATAGGCATGAGTCACCATACTCGACGTATGCTAAATTTATTCTTTAAATTTCTACTGTATTTGTATTTGTATGCTGGTTTTTCTTCCCAATATACTGTTGGACACTTTACTTTTCTTCATTGACCTTGCTAGAGTATCTTCTATATAACTAATTTTTTCTAATTTAAAAAAAAAAATTTCTTTTTGGGATTGGCTGTAATGGGAAACTGCCAGGGGAGAGCGGAGGTGGGATTGGCAGTAGTGGGAAACTGCCAGTAGGGGGGCCATACTTCATCAACAACGGTACTTGCATAATGAATATTTATATACCTAACCCTGAATTGTATACCACATATTTAAAATTTAAAACTTAAAAAAATTTATTTAATAGGCTAAACTTATCTTTCTGTAACTTTCTCCTTTAAAAACTTTTAAATTTTCTTTACTTTTTTGATTCCTTTATAATAACACTCAGTTCAAACCACAAGCACACTGTACAGTTATACAAAACTATTTTCCTTCTTTATATCCTTATTCTCTATGCTCTTTAATATTTTGAATTTTTTTAAACTCTGTTTTTGTTTTGTTTTGTTTTTTTAAAGAGACAGACAGGGTCTGGTTTTGTTGACCAGGCTGGAGCACAGTGGCACAATCACAGCTCACTGTAGCCTTAAACTCCTGGGCTCAAGTGATCCTCCCCCCTCAGCCTTCTGAGTAGCTAGGAAATTAGGCACACGCCATCCTGCCTGGCTAATTTTTTTAAATGTTAAATCTTTTAAATTTTGATAAGCAAAAGACTTGAAAAGACACCTCAACAAAGAAGATATATGAATGGCAAATAAGTTCAGAAAGGATGTGCAACATCATTAGCATAAGGCAAATACTAATTAAAGCCACAATCAGATATTCTCATGAGAATGGCAAAAATGAAAAAGACTAACTATATCATGTGCTGACATGGATGTGGAGAAACTGGTACTCTGACACATTTCTGGTAAGAATACAAAATGTAACAATTACTTCAGAAAACTGTTATCAGTTACTTAAAAAGCTAATCATGCATCTACCAGTTGATTTGGCCATTCTACCCTAGGCGGACCCAAGAGAAAAAGAAATATTTATGCATGGAAAGGTTTGTTCATGAACATTCACAGCAGCTTAATCTTTAACAGCAAAAACTCAAATGTGGGGTTTATGGTCAATACAAATGAACATAAATAGTTGAATGCATAAACAAATTGTGATATATACATACAATGGAATAATACTCAGCAATAAAAGGGAAAAAAGTACTGATAAACAGCAAAAAAATGAATCTCCAATGATTTTGCTGAGTGAAAGAAGTTAAACATAAAATTAGTAATAGATTTATATAAAATTCAAGAATTTATATAAATTGTAGAATTTATATAAAATTCTAGAAAACGGCCGGGCTTGGTGGCTCAGCCTGTGACCCCAGCACTTTGGGACACCGAGGAGAGTAGACTGCCTGAGTCCGCAGGTTCAAGACCAGTCAGGGCAACTTGGTGAGACCTCGACTCTACAATAAATAAAAAATTAGCCAGGCATGGTAGCGCGCACCTGTTCCAGCTACTTGGAAGCCTGAGGTGGACGAATCGGCAGAGCCTAGCAAGTCGACGCTGGGGTGGCCATGAGTGTGCCACTGCACTCCAGCCTGGGCAATGAAGTAAGACTCTGACTCAAAAAAAAAAAAAAAAAATTCTAGAAAACACAAATTTACCAATAACAACAGAAAGCAAATCAGCAGTTGCCTGGAGAAGGAATGGTAGAAAAAGACAGTACAAAAAGGCACAAGGAAACTTTTGGGAATGAGTATGTTCACTATCTTGACTATGGTGAGGGTTTCACAAGTATTCAAGTTTACCAAATTATACAACATTTTAGATATATGCAGTTCCCTACAAATAACTTGAAAAAGGAAAAAATTAAAGGAAAAAAGATAAAACAATTGCATGCAGTTTATACCAATCATACCTCAATAAAGCTATTTTTTTAAAAACCCTACAGCACTTCAGGAGGTGGAGGTGAGAGGACTGCCTGAGTCCAGGGGTTCAAGACCAGCCTGGGCAACTTGGCAAGACCTCGTCTCTACAATAAAAATGAAAAAATTAGCCAGGCATGGTAGTGCAGGTCACCACCATGTAGTTCCAGCTACTTGGAAGGCTGAGGTGGAAGGATCACCTGAACCCAGCAGATCGAGGCTGCAGTGACCATGAGCATGAGCATGTCACTGCACTCCAACAACAGAGTTGAACTCCACCTCAAATAAATAAATAAACACTCATGCACACACACAACACCTAATGCATAAATCCTCTTTAGATCTCCACCCTTATTCCACCAGTAAAACTGCTGCACCACTCCACCAGAATTATTCTCTGGAAGGGATAAAATAGTTTCTGGACTATGGTAACAAGACATATAAATATAAGTGGTAGCAGTGAAGAAAAAGGAATATTTAATAAATATTTATGCACTGAATCCTACCAACTAAATTGCAAAGAAAAAATAAAAATATTTTCTGACATGTAAGCAAGAAAACTGTATTCTGATTACCCTTCATGGAATAATACTGAGGGAAGCAAGACACCAAAACAAGTTAACCAAGAGAATAGAAGCCATGAGACTCAAGAAACATGGAATTTAACACAAGAAGGAAGTGAAGAGAATCTCCAGGATGATTAAGAGAACAATCTCAGGAGAGTGCTGCATATAAGTCATACAGAAAAATTTAAGAATTATAAAAACAGCCGGGGGCAGTTGCTCACACCTGTAATTCCAGCACTTTGGAAGGTGGAGGCAAGAGGATTGTTGGAGTCAAGGGGTTTGAGACCAGCCTGGGCAGCTTGGTGAGAACTTGTTTCTACAACATACCAAAAAGTTAGCTGTGCATGGAGGCGCATGCCTGTGGTTCCAGCTACTTAGAAGGCTGAGGCAGAAGGCTCTCATGAGCCCAGGAGGTCGAGGCTGCAGTGGCCATGAGCCTGCCATGGCACTCCAGCCTGGGCAACAGAGTGAGATTCCTACTCAAAAAAAAAAAAAGAATTATAAAAAACAAATTCAGCCAGGCGCAGTGGCTCAGGTCTGTAATCACAACACTTTGGGAGGTAGAGGTGAGAGGACTGCCTTAGCCCAAGGGTTCGAGACCAGCCTGGGCAACTAGGCAAGACCTCATCTCTATAACAAATAAAAAAAATTAGCTGGGTATGGTGATGTGCGCCTACAGTCCCAGCAACTTGGAAGGCTGAGGCAGAAGGATCACCTGAGCCCAGCAGGTCAAGGCTGCAGTGGCCATGAGCATGCCACTGCACTCCAACCTGGGCGACAGAGTGAGACTCCAACTCAAAAAATAAAAATAAAAATTCAAAAGGAATATGTCAAATATTTATGCAACACTATATATTTTATTGACTCATTTACTATATGCTTTATACTCATCCATCCCAATATAAAACATAAACTCTATGAGGTCAGAATTTTTGCCATTTTGTTCACAACTGTATCCCAAACTTCTAAAATAATGTCTGCTACCAAATTGGTATTCGATGGCTATTTTCTCAATAAATAAAAATGCTAAATTTTAGCATAAGAATCACTATATGTAAGTAACTAGCAAGAATATAATTTCTCAAAGCCATCACATAAGTCACAATGTAAGGAAATTTTAACTATTTATAGATTCACAGATTCCTATGGGTTATTTTCAGTAAAAAAAATTCTATTCTTACAAAGCAGAGTAAATCCTACTAATGCAGTTCCCAAACATGACACAGAGAAAATCTGAAAATAAGCTGATTTCTACTTCATAAAAATCTCCATTATAACACAAAGATTCGCAGATCTTTTGATTTAATATAGATAACCTGTCAAAACAAACTCTTTAAAGCACACAAACCAAAAAGGATGAAGACTATCTCACTACATTTAGTATTTTATCACCTGGTGTTCCACCTCTTGAAGTAAGGATTCCAACAGCTCTGTTTCTTGGGTTAGAGATGTTTTCTGACCTGTTTAAAAACAACAAAACATCAACACTCAGGCTCATTACTGGTTTAAGAATGAAATTAACATCCACTGAACTTATTCAGTAACAAGAAATACATTTCAAGTTAGCAAAAGTTCTTCATTACAGCTACCCTAAAACTTTTAGCTTTAAGAGGTCGGATTTACTACTGCGGCAGTCTTGAAAAGAGAATTTCAGGTTGGGCATGGTGGCTAATGCCTGTCATGCCAGCACTTTCGGAGGCCAAGGCAGGAACATAGCTTGAAGCCAGGAGTTTGAGAACAGCCTCGGCAACAAAGGAAAACCCTGTGCATACATAAAATAAAAAATAATTTGAAAACAACAAAAGCAGGGTAAGTTCAGTTACTAGAAAGAAAAATTATTTCACTGAGTTATAAAGTTAGTAAAATTAAGAGATATGCACCGTGGTATTATTTGACTTCTAGTTAATTCAGTAAAATAAATGAAACCATGAGGCAAATTCACTCAAGAACAAGATCACATGCAAATATATCTTTGGCTACTATTCAAGACCACGTAAACTGAAAAACTCTCAATTTTAAAAGTCCTACTACATACCAATATTCCAGTACTCTACATGGCTTAAATGAACATAAGGGAATCTCAAATACCATCTAAAGTCCATCTACAAAAAATAAGATCAACTACATGTATAACTGACTGCAATTGAGGGTCTAAGAACAATTATGATTTACACTTACATAAAAGCATTATTTAAGTGGCATTGTTACTTGTATAATCAATACCTAAAGTTTTCTTCTACTTGCCCCATTATGAGGATGAACTATGTTGTTCAATCTAACTAAAAGAATAATTTTGTTTGTTTGTTTGAGATGGAGTCTCTGTCGTCCAGACTGGAGTACAGTGGCCGCTACCGGTCACCGCAGCCTCGACCTGCTGGGCTCCGGCGATCCTTCCGCCTCAGCCTTCCGAGTAGCTGGAATTACAGGCATGCGCTACCACGCCCAGCTGAATTTTTGATTTATTGTAGAGATGAGGTATCGTTGCCCAGGCGGGTCTCGAACCCGCGGGTTCAGGCAATCCACTCACCTCAGCCTCCCAAAAGCACGGGATTACAGGCTGAGCCACCAAGCCCAGCTAAAGAATGATTTTAAAAACCATTTGCTGCTGGGCCTATAGAAAAAAACCTAAAGATCAGATAGTATAGATTTATAATATAAAAATAATTCATGAAATGATATGAAAATATCAAAACTCAAAGATATCTGCATCATATTTTTTAAAAGTTAAAAATAAAATAGATATATCAAGGCACAGTGGCTCATACTATAATCCTAGCACTTTAGGAGGTCAAGGCAAGAGGACTACTTGAAGCCAGCCTGGGCAATATAGAGAGACCTTATCTCTAAAAAAAAAAAAAAAAAAAAAATTAGCCTAGTGTGGTGACGCATGCCTGTAGTCCCAGCTATACCACAGGCAAAGATCAAAGGATTGTTTCAGTTCAGGACTTTGAGACCATGGTGAGCCATTATTTCGCCACTGTACTCTAGCCTGGGCAACAGAGTGAGACCCTGACTCAAAAGAATAAATAAATAAAACAGACAAAATAGCATTTTGGATGACACAAAGGCAAGGTTAAAACTTTGGACCAAGACAGTTAGTTTAAAAAAATTATTTTTTCACACCTTATTGAAGTATATATATTTCATGTTTCACTATGATTAAAAAAATCCAAAGCTAATTTTCAGTCAGCAAAAACACTGGGTAAACTAAGATCACCAAACCAAACCAAACCAACTTTAACACTGCACAAGACTTAAATCTTATGTTCAAAACTAGGCTTCACAACAAAAGAATAATGAAGGAATCTTTCAAAAATCAAAAAGATAAGCAATAAATACAATTAACAGATTTTAAAGGAGACCTAAAGAAAATAGCTGGGTGTGATGGCTCACACCTATAATCCCAGCACCTTTGGGAGGTCGAGGTGGGCGGATCACTTGAGTCCAGGAGTCTGAGACCAGCCTGGGAAACATAGCGAGACCTTATCTCCACAAAAAATTAGCCAGGCATGGTGGTGCTCACTTGTACTTCCAGCTACTTGGGATGCTAAAGTAGAAGGATCAACTGAGCCCAGGAATTTGAGGCTGTAGTGAGCCAGTATCATGCCACTGGTCTCCAGCCTGGGCAACAGAGTGAAACCCTGACTCAAAAAAAAAATAATGAGACCTGTAAGAAACCAAAAGCCAAGACTAACTCTCTAAAAAAAAGCTGAGGGAACTACCCTGGTATTTACAAATATCAGTTATTCACCTTCAAATGAAAATGGACTGAAAGAAAACAGGACATTAGTAGTAGGAATTTTTATTAGATTTGAAAAAAGCTACTTAATGACATCCTTTTGCCATTAGGATTCTCATCGTTTCATAGTCATTAGGCTTTGAAAACTTTTTCTCTCCAATCATTCTAAATACAAATCAGGTATCTGTCTAGCTTGTAACAACATGGAGTTGCCTAAAATTTCAAGATTCCTAGCCTGCAACAACTCACAAGTCTTACTCTTCAAAGATTGAAACCCAAGGAGGTTCAAAGCACCATGCGCCCCAGTAGAATACAAAAACACTTACCCATAAGTGTTATAAGCTTATTCTTCAACTGTGTGTCTAGCCGAGCAATCATCATCTCCACTGCATTCCTAATTTCCCGAACACGTTCATCTTTTGCATTTCTTACAGCTTCTACATTTCTTTCCTAGAAGATAAACAGACAAAAAGAATTCTAATTGGAGTTTTAAAACATAAACAAGCAGATATTAATGCAATCACACTACAATTAATCAGTAAGTTGATTCTCTCTTTTAAAAATATAAGTCAAAAACTGTATTTTTATTTTATTTATTTGAGAGAGAGAGGTCTCTCTATATTGCTCAGGCTGGTCTCGAATTTCTGGGCTCAAGTGATCTTCCTGCCTCAGCTTCCCATGTACCTGAGACTGTAGGCAACAGCATTTTTAAGTTGTTGATACAGCATAAGTAACTCACAGTTTTTAAAAATTCTGTGCATTGAAGTGAAAGTTAAAGATTCTTCGGGCTTGGTGGCTCAGCCTGTAATCCTGCGCCTTGGGAGGCTGAGGTAAGTGGATTGCCTGAGCCCGCGGGTTCGAGACCCACCTGGGCAACTTGATTAGACCTCATTTCTACAATAAATCAAGAAATTAGCTGGGCCTGGTAGCGCATGCCTGTAATTCCAGCTATTTGGAAGGCTGAGGAGGAAGGATCGCCGGAACCCAGCAGGTCGAGGCTGTGGTGGCCAGGAGTGGCCACTGCACTCCAGTCTGGGCGACAGAGGAGACTCCAACTCAAAAAAAAAAAACAAAAAAAAAAACAACAAAAAAACAGAAATAGTAAAGCCACTTTTCATCCTAAAAAAACCCTAAGACAAAAGAAATTTTTTAAAAAACCAATACCTACTGAAATTGACAAAATTTTGTTTTTGTTTTCTGAACTAAATACAAAAAGGAAAAAAAAGATTTTCCAAGACTGCAGAGTAGCGTATGCAATATATTTCAAATAGATATCATAGAAAATAAAGAGCAATCTTTTTCAAATTTACTATTATAAAAATATGAGCCTGGGCAACATAGCAAGATCGCACCTCTATAAAAAAATGCAAAATTAAGTTAGGCGTGGTGGTACACACCTCTAATCCCAGCTACTCAAGAGGCTGAGGCAGAAGGATTGCCAGAGTCCAGGAGACTGAGGCTGCAGTGTGCTGTGATCATGCCACTGCACTCCAGCCTGGGAGACAGAGTGAGACCCTGTCTCAAAAAAAAAGAGAATCTCAACCTACACAACAACCTCCTTAATGATCATATTATGTTTCCAAGAATAAATAATAAGAAAAAGATAGTTGGATGAAGAACAAATAGAAACCACACAGGTTGTTTATATTTCAAAATGACTTGTAGTATATATGAAGTTCAAAAACACTATTACCTACATAAAGAAAATTACAGGCTGGGCACACTGGCTAATGCCTGTAATCCTAGCTCTTTGGGAGGCCAAGGTGGGAGGAGTTCAAGACCAGCCCAGGCATCACAGCAAGACCTCACTTCTATAAAATTTTTGTAAAAAATCAAAAAATTAGCTGGGCATGGTGACACACACCTGAGTAGTTCTAGCTACTCAGGAACCTGAGGCAGAAGAATCACCTAAGCCCAAGAGGTAGAGGCTACAGTGAACCTCTGTGATCACACCACTGCATTGTGACCTGGACAAGAGAGTGAGACTCCAACTCCAAAAAATAACAAGAATATTACAAATAATGGTCTGATTCCTGATGAGGAAAAATAAAGACAACATCTGTTTTTAAGTTATGAAATGGTCTAAAAACCTCACTTATAAATATCATTCTGGCAACTTGAGACAAAATTTATTCAAAAAATATATTTGGGGCAGGGAGTGGTAGATCAAGCCTATAATTCCAGAACTTTGGAAGGCAGAGGAGGGAAATTCCTTTAGCCTAGGAGTTCAAGACCAGCCTAGGAGACATAGCAAGATCTCATCTCTCCAAAATTTAAAAAATTAGCCAGGCGTGGTGGTGCACACTGGTAGTCCCAGCTACTTGGGAGGTTAAGGAGGATCGCCTCAGCCCAGGAAGTTGAGGCTTCTGTAAGCCGTGATTGTGCCACTGCACTCCAGCCTAGATGACAAAATGAGACTCTGACAAAAAATAAATCAGATGACAAAGTGAGACCGGACTCAAATAAACAAATAAATAAATGATATATATTTTGTACTTGTTTAGAGTTTATTGTTTTTACATAGAAGTAACATTATAATTAATAAATAGTTCACCAAAACTGTTTGACCTATACAATATCTGAAGAGCAGTGTTAAATATTACTCTTTCACCTCTGTGGTTCTATTTCACAACATCAGAAATAGTTCATTCCTTGGTAGAAAAATCTCTCCCAAAAGTGGGGATCCAAAGAATATATAACTTAATGGCTCTGTAAAAGACAGTATCAACTCAGTTTAGAAGTCAATTACACTGTCACAGACTTCTTTAACTCACTGATTTTTAAATTTCTCTGGCTCCAACTGCTTCCTTTGATTGCAAATATCTCAGCTAGTCTGAAGCTGATGAGATTGATTATAGATACAGCCAATCAAATTTGAAAATCTTTATTTCAACTTCTGATTGATTTATATTATATGTATTATCATATATTACAGATTAAAAACAGAATTATAATAGTTTAGTAGTAGTCTTACCACTTCTTGAACTAAGCTGATCAGTTCCATGAGACGCCGACGAAGTTTGGCTACCTCTTCATTCACTTTAGTGACATGCTGCTCATAAATTTCTGCCAAAGGTTTAAAGGTATGTCCACCATGCTAGTTAAATTAATAAGAGTAGTTTTAGAAATTTATCATTTTATCTGCATTTACATTCCTCTGCAGCATTCTATGGACACTAATAAGCTGGTAAATATGTTTTCTTTTTTTTAACTAGTAAATATTTTCAAATAAATTCTATCTAAATTTTTTTAAAACAGGGCAGTGTTTGCTTAAAATCACAGAAGCATGTAGAAATTCCTTCAAGACTGTAAATAAAGGATGTTAGCAAAATACTCACATTTACCTAGAAATCAACTAATTAAAAAGGACCAAAATCCTTAATCATGGCCCAAACTATCTGCTACAACCTGATCAGTCACTCCTCTCTCAGACAATGCTAGCGTTCTTCCAGGTCCTCAAATTTTTCACTAGGCCTTTGGAAAAGTTCATCCCTCTTATTCAAAAATAATTCTCCATCTTCTGTCGCCCATTTCTGTACCTCTTAACTCTACTTATCCTTTGGAGCTTAGTTCAGGCTTACAGGGTCAGACCCAGTAATTATGCCTTCTCATTAGCTCTCTATATTAAAAAGACACTTGAGAAAAAACCCTGGTTACAAAATTAGTAAAAGCAATGAACCCACTTCCAATGCCAAAAAGAATTACTATAGATAGAAGGTTGGTATAAATTAGCTCACAAATCTATTTGCTGATTCAACTCACAGAACAATTTTTTGTAGCTAACAATCTAAAAATAATTTCTTATCCAATTATTCATAACTCTCTTAACTATTAACTAGAATTATTAAATTTCTAATACAGGAAACTTCCTATAAAAGATAAGCTCTTATCAGAATTGTCTCATTTAGCCAAAGTACCCCACTATGGTTTCCAAAACAAAATAGATGTAGGGTTTTTATTTATGAATTTATTTTTAGTAGGAGTCTCACTCCGTTACCCAGGCTGGAGTGCAGTGGCGTGGTCACAGTCACCACAGCCTCAACCCTGATGGGCTCAGATGATTGTGAGAACTTACTTTTTGCCAGTCAGTCCATTAGTATTCTAATTCTAACAGAAAGCTCTCTGAATTGAGCTCTATTCAATCAATTTGGCTTGCTATTCTTTCCTTAAGACATACCGATACCCAAAGAATGATAATTTCTCATGGCTAACAGGCAACTGTAGATGCCTATCCACTTCTGCTCCCCCATCGCCTATTTTGCCCACCAAGAACTATTATGTTTATTATTAACCTATTTACTTATTTGCAGGTCTTTTGTTGTAGGATCAATTGTACTTACTGTAAGTAATTTAATTAAATATTAAGCAAACAACAAAACACAACAATAAGATAAAAGGCTGCTTCTAGGAAAACTACCGTGAATGTTTTAGATGTAATAAAGGTAGACTGCCTTTAAAAAGTTGCTTTTTGGGCTGGGCACAGTGGCTCATGCCTGTAATCCCAATACTTTGGGAGGCAGAGGTGAGAGGAATGCCTGAGTACAGAGGTTCGAGACCAGCCTGGGCAACTTGGCAAGACCTCGTCTCTACAGTAAATCACAAAATTAGCTGGGCATGGTGGCACGTGCCTGTAGTTCCAGCTACTTGGAAGACTGCGGCAGAAGGATCACCTGAGTCCAGCAGGCCAAGGCTGCGGTGGCTGTGAGTGTGCCACTGTACTCTAGCCTGGGCGACAGAATAAGACATGGACTCAAAAAAGAGAGAATCTAAAAAACAAGAAAGAAAAAAAAATTTCGATATGTACACTCATATTGTTTCACAAGTATTTAGCTTCTTGCTCCTTTTTAAAGAAACCAAAAGTGGAAATCATGGCCAGTATATCAGATCAACTGACCTTTAATAAAACAACTATTTTAAAAGGACCCTGACCCCACAACAAAAGACCTGCAAATAAATACCGTATATGGCTCACAGGTGTTCGGTTAATATATTATAAGGGGTGCATCAAACATCTCACAAAAGAAATTCTTCTGGAATAACCAAAGGTGCATACCTTTAATAAACCGCCCACAAAGCAGATACATTTTTTCACTGTACAAGCAAGAATAAAATGATACTATTTTTCTAACTAAATCAAAAGTATTTCAGTGCCTTCAAGTCTCTAAAAAGAATATGCTGAATTTGTTCTCACCATTCCTCCCCAAAGCGCACACTGATGGCAAATACACTTCTTACAAGTCCAGCAAAATACACTAAGCTTTTCATGGTGATTTTCACATCTATACATTATGAAAAGAAAGTAAAGTTATAAATTAAATAAATTAAAATTGAAACATAATTAGCTCAACAAATTCCTAAGCTTAGGCAAATGGTCAATTTTAAACAACCATGCCTCAGGAAACACTGAATAAAATGTAATCCATAGTTTCTGTTAATGAAGCTAAAGAATCATATGTGGACAAAATTTTTCAAGTACTGTTTTCATTAATCTGGACTTTACAATCACATGCAAAATATTGTTTCTTTTTTTTTTTTTTTTAGGCGGCACAAGCGCGCCTCTATTGTTGAGAACAGCTTGTGTGTGGGGGGCCTTCCGGAATAAACCGGAAGGCCTGCTAGACAAATTCTAAAAGAGCTGCAACACTAATACTGTTTCTTTTAAAAAGTACAGATATTGCATCATTTCCTAGCATCACTATAATGATAAATTTTATTCTACTACTACATTTTGAGAGAGTGTTTAATAATCAGACTCATTATGTGTCTATACCTACATGACCATGTGTGCATGCACAAATACTTTTCCTACATGTGGTCACTTGTAACAATAATCAAGACATGTGATTAACTGCACAATGTAATACCAAATCTTCATGGAAAATTAACAATTCAGTTTTAAGATTTCTCTTAAACTCAATATACACATGCAAAACAATGAAGTTGTTCTGGACCAAATTATGTCCCCCCAAAATTCATATGTTAAAGACTTAACCTCCAATGTGAATGCATTTGGAGATAAAGCCTTTAAGGAGGATAATTAAGATTAAATGATACCATAAGGGTGAGAAACGAATCCAACAGAACTGGTGATCTAATAAGAGGAAGAGACATCAGGAGTGTACATGCACATAGCAAAGGCCATGTGACGTCAGAGGTAGAATGTGATTGTCAAGGAGAGACGGAGGCCTTACAAGAAACCAGCCCTCCCTATACTTTGATATCATTAACTGTGAAAAAATGAATTTTTATTGTTTAAGCCACCCAGGCAGTGGTACTGTTATGGCAGCCCTAACAGACTAATACAGACCCTTACGTTACACCATATATAAAAATGAACTAAAAAGGGGTCAAAAACCTAAACATAAGACCTAAAACCATAAAACTCTTCGAGGAAAACATGGGGAGGAAGCTTCATGACACTGATTTGGCAGTAATTTCTTGTATATGACACCAAATATTCAGGCAACGATAGTAAAAAAGATACACTGAACTGCATCAAAAATTTAAAACGTCCAAGCATTAAATGTCAGAATTAACAGAAAGAAAAGGCAACCAATGGAAGAAAATTTTCAAATCATATATCTAACAAAGGTTAATATCCAGAATACATAGAACTCCTAAAACTCAACAAATAACCTTGACTTTTAAATGGGCAATTCTTGAATATACATTTCTCCAAAGAAGATATACAAATGGCCAAAAAGCAGATGAAAAGATTCTCATCACCATTAATCATTAAGGAAATGAAAATCCAAACCTCATACCCATTATGATGGTTGCTATTTAAAAAAAAAAAAAAAAAAGTGTTGACCAGGATATGGAGAAAATGGAATCCTTGTACACTGTTGGTGGGACTGTAAAACAGTGGTCATAATGGAAAACAGTATGGATGTTCCTCAAAAAATTAAAAATAGAATTATGCACACCTCATCAACAAGGGTACCTGCATAATCAATGTTTGTATACCTAACCCTGAATTGTACCCCACAACTTTAAAAGAATAAAAATAAAATAAATAATATTAAAAAAAGAAAAACTAAGGTATCACTGTCTCCAATAAATATCCTAAAATCAGAAAATCTGCCCAAAATCTAAAAAAAATTTTAAAAATAAAAAAAGAATTATCATATAATCTAGTAATTCCACTTCTGGATATACATCCAAAAGGACGGTACTCCCTTCAGCAGCCCATACAATAAAATTGGAATGATACATCCGAAAGGACTGAAAGTAGAGTCTTTTTTTTTTTTTTTTTTTGAGTTGCAGTCTCATTCTGTAGCCCAGACTGGAGTGCAGTGGCTGCTCCTGGCCACTGCAACCTGAACTGCTGGGCTCCGGCGATCCTTCCGCCTCAGTCTTCCGAGTAGCCGGAAATACAGGCACGCGCTATCACACCTGGCTAATTTTTGACTTATTGTAGAGATGAGGTCTCGCCAAGTTGCCCAGGCGGATCTTGAACCCGCGAGTTCAGGCAATCCACTCACCTCAACCTCCCAAAGCCGGGATTACAGGCTGAGCCACTGAGCCCAGCTGAAAGTAGAGTCTTAAAGACATGAACGCCCAAGTTCACAGCAGCATTACTGACAATAGCTAAAAAGTGGAAGCAACCCAAATGTTGACAGATGAAAGGATAAATCAAAAACAATGACATATACATTATTCAGTATTAGTCTTAAAAAGGAAGGAAATTCTAGCATATGCTACAATGCTGACGAACCTTAAGGACATTATGCCAAGAGAAATAAGGCAGTCACAAAAATACAAGTAATGTATGACTTTGCTGGTGTGTGTGTGTGTGTGTGTGTGTGTGTGTGTGTGTGTGTGTGTATGAGTTAGAGTCTTGCTCTGTCGCCAAGGCTGGAATGCAGTGGGGTATGATAATAGCTCAATGCAGCCTGGAACTCCCAGGCTCAAGGGATCCTCCAGACTCAGCCTCCGGAGTATTCGAGACCACAGTCATGTGTCACCATGCCCAGCTAATTTCTTGACTTTTTTACAGAAATGAGGTCTTGCTATGTTGCCCAGGTTGGTCTCAAACCCCTGGTCTCCACCAATTCTCCCACCTCAGTCTCCCAAAGCACTGAGATTACAGACAGGAGCTACCAAACCCAGCCTGATTTTACTTCTATGAAGTATCTAGAGTAGATAAATCCACAGAAACAAAAAGTACAATGGTGGCTTTCAGGGAATCGTGGAAAGAGGGAAAGGAAAGTTGTTATTTAATAGGTATAGTTTCAGATTTGCAAGATGAAAAAATTCTGGAGATTGGTTGCACAACAATGTGAACATACTTAACACAAATAAATCACACACTCTAAAAGGGTTAAGATGGTAAACTTTATGTTATGTACATTTTACTACAATTAAAATTTTTTTTTGTTCTTTATTTTGTTTTGAGACAGGGTCCTTCTATGCTGCCCAAGTTGGTATCGAACTCCCGGGCTCAAGCAATTCTCCCATCTTGGCCTGAGATTACTTGTGAGCCACTGTGCCTGGTCAAAATTTTTTAAATTAAGTTTTCTCTTACTTATACAGCAGACAGGCTGGCATTTTTTATACTTGATCTTAACCAAATGACTGAGAAGCAATATACACTTAAAAAAATTTTTTTTTTTGGCCAGGCTCTGTGGCTCAGCCTGTAAACCCAGCACTTTGGGAGGCCAAGGTAAGTGGATTGCCTGAGCCTGTGGGTTCGAAGCCCACCTGGGCAACTAATGAGACCTCATCTCCACAATAAATGAAAAATTAGTCAGGCATGGTAGCACACCTTGCCTCTTTTTGGACCTCTTTTATTGGAGCCTCTTATAAAAGGAATGGAACCACTGCAGTTTGCTAATCTGCCAACCCTTATTCTTTGCTATTTGATTCCTACTGGCCCCCTTGGTTTGCTGAAGATGCATATAGGCCATTGATTAAGAGTTCTGGTAAATTTTTGGGGGGTTTTTTTTTTTATGTTGGAGTCTCGCTCCATTGCCCAGACTGGAGTGCAGTGGCCGCTCCTGGCCACCGCAGCCTTGTCTGCTGGGCTCTGGCGATCCTTCCGCCTCAGCCTTCCGAGTAGCTGGAATTACAGGGGCGCGCTACCATGCCCGGCTCATTTTGATTTATTGTAGAGATGAGGTCTCACTGCCCAGGCGGG